GGGGGGGAGTTAATTGATGCATTCCTAAGACACATATATACATATTTTTCTTTTTACTACAGAAATACAGTCAAAAACATTGTTAAAGACCACCGCACAATGTCGAGGAACAAAAAGATTGTCTTAGATAGGTGGATGTCGTACTCAAAGTAATTATAATGGAGAAAAATAAACGTAAGGCAGGAAATGTGAAGGGGGTCGTTTGTACAAGTGACTGTCTTATGCAGAGATGGCTGTTGGTGCAGGTTCCTCTGTACCTTCACAGCATACGCACAAAGACTGGCAAAGCACAACTTGCAGTGTGACTCCGGGGGGAGGGCGTAAAGCAGATAATACCATAGGCCTATGAATTTTGTAAGGTGAAAATTACGTGGTAGCCTACATTCCATAGGCAAATATTTTATGTTTTAAAAGAAAATATCATTAGGTCTATAATAGTTCACCCTATTACTTCACAGAAACGTTTATACACAGCGTATAACATACAAAGCAAGACGAGCCCGACATCTTGACCCCCCCCCCTTCCCTCCTTCCACACCCAACCCCAGACACACACACGTCGCGTTTTTTTGACCGCCACAAGCCACGTAAGCCAACCAGGGAAAAAGACCCGAGTTTGCGCAAGCCTAAATAACAATGTAAATCTGGGGCTCCTTAATGGCGGTTATGTCATTTCCTGTTTGCGCGGTCGGAGCCAACTCGCGGAAACAGAAGTTACACTCGCACAGGCTGCTGCACAGAATTACGATTTGAGCTTAGGCGAAAACAAAGAAATCGACAAATGTAGCACTCCACGAATAGTAATATTATTATGAAAATCACTGGGATCCCTTGAAGCTACAGAATCGTCAATCAAGAAAATTAGAACAGAAAAAAACAAACCTAAGAAGCTTTTATTTTCTCTTATCGTATATCGGACATATTCCAATGCTAATATGGCAAACGGTGATTATTTGAGTTAAAGAAAAGCACATCGACACAACAATGGCCATTTAGTGCTTGGAAAAAGTAAAACAGACAGGAGCAATCGAGGGAAAGTAAAGAAGTCGGATCTACCAGTGGCGCTCTCCAATCACCCGCAAAGCATAACAGACAGACAAAAACAAGAGGGGAAAAGAATAGCAGTAGGACCTACCCGTGGTACTCTACAACCACTGGCACAGCGATTGTAATGAAATAGTTTTGAAGCACAAAACAGACGAGGGTACACAACAGAATACAGCTGGCGTTTGTGGTGTAATAGCAATGCCCCTCGCTGCTTCCCGCACACGATGTGAGTTTGGTTACTGTGTGGGGAAGTTATTTTATTTCGTATCTCCATAGTTCGCTACTCCAGAATTACAAAGTTCTATCTGTTCACTACCTAGTTTTGAGAAATTTGACGTGAAAAAGTTTGAGTTTCACAACATGTCAAGCTTTTTCGAATGGAATTCTTTGAATATCTCGATACTGGCTCCGAATAATCTTACGATTCTGATAGAACAGATAGAACATTTGGTTTCTGACCTCATTATGGTCTAAGTAACTCAAATGGCCAAATACGTCGTATAGAACTTTGTAATTCTCCAAAGTAGCCTATGTTTGTTGAGATACTGTAAACCACTCAGCCCCGATTGGTTCAGACAAAGATGGTCGAAGCAAGTCGCCTCCGAACGAAGGGGAGCATGGGAGGGAGACAGACGGAGGGGCAGAAAGATAAAGAGAGAAAAAGCAATAAATAGATGGCCCAAAAGATAGAAAGACAAAAAACATAAAGGTTCTGGATCTATAGATTAAAAACGAAACGTTGAGGGTGTGAGAACACATGCAGAGAGAGCGAGCGAGCGAGCGAGAGAGAGAGAGAGAGAGAGAGAGAGAGAGAGAGAGAGAGAGAAAGAGAGAGAAAGAGAGAGAGTGCAGTCGATAAACCACACTATTCTATATGACCTAGACTGGGAGCACAAGGAAGAACATAACTATGTAATTCTCTCGTAACTTTCCCCCAGCTCGTTAACTAGAGCATCAGCAAAGCTTTTCCCATTGTGCTATGGATACCTCCTCCCTCTTTCTCCTCCGTCTGAATGGTTTTAATTTACGAATCTTAGTCGAGCACGAAGAGAATAATCACCTTTTTATACCTCAAAAACAGTGAACGTCATTGATGCTTTGTTGCAATATTGTTGTCTTGGAAATGCCGCATCTTGACAAAAGATGAAGCATAGTTTTATCAGCTTTTTCTTCCTCTGAACCTGCCTATCCCCTCTCTTTCTCATTCCTTCCTCTTTCCCTCTCCCCCTCTCTCTACAGCCTCTCTCATTCTTTATACACATCTCTCTTTCTCTCTACAGCTTCTCTCATTCTTTATCTCTCTCTCTCTTCCTCTCTCTCTCTCTCTCTGTTCATTTCCATTTTTAACCCGTCGTTTGAGCGGCAGAAATCACCGCCAACAAGACACAACGATTATGATTGGTGCCATAAAAATACAAAAAAATCTTCCCTAGAAACCAACGGTCAATATTCCCTGTCCTTTTCAATGCACTTTAACGCTCGGGCACGCACGCAGGAACAAACACACACATATAAACATCCATCACCAGTAACAAAACAGAATGCAATTAGTTCATAACCACAAAAAGGCCTTCTGTCAGTTTCATGAGCGCTTTTTTTCTTTTAAAGACCCACTCATTACACGTACTCGTACCACCAGCCGGACAAGACGTAAGAACATAAAGTATCGTAACAAAACATATGCGAGTTTTTTTTTTTTTTTGTTTTTTTT